ACGGCTAGCTAATTTGACTTATATTGCCATTCTTAAACGCCGTTCAAAAGACCACCTTGAAGATACCAAAATACTTGTTTGCGGTCAATGGGCCTTTTGAATGGCTTTAATAGGTTCTTCAGATTTATGAGGAAAGCTGTAAGCTTTCGAGGTGGTATATTAATAATAATACCGATGTACTTGGAAATAGTCACGATTAATAAAGTACGTTCAAGTAAGTTCTGTTAATGTTTAATGTGCGAAACATGTTAAATTATTTGTTTTTATTTACCCGACGTTTAGTTGCTTTGCAGCAGCCGTGGTCAGGGGAGGGTGAGCCGTAGTTAATAAAAATAAAAATGAGTAACTATCATACTTTGCGTTTCGTACTGACTGACGAGCAGGAGGTTCCCTTGATGGTAGGTAGGGTAGAAATACCCCAGCCAACATCTTGAACTAACGAGCCACGGCTTAGTACAAACATAAGTAATTTTGACACAACAGTGCAAATTTGTAAATAAGCATATTTTTCATAGAATGTGTAATCATCAATTATTGTTTTGCAATTGACCTATGCGTAAGAAACTAGCTTTGACGCAATACTTAAGTAAATAAATATTTTCGGATTAACGATATTCCGTTCGTAAACACATTTAAGACTGTTCAAACACGGCGGGTGGATTGAGAATTGTTTAATTGATGTCAAATATTAGTGGTCATGGCAATTAGTGCGGGTCAGACCCGTGACGGGTCGTTTAAATTGGAACTAGCTGGTTAGTGGCCGCGCAACGCACGCAACGGAACGTAAGCCTTAAAGATCTTCCACCTTTTCTTCGCTGCAGCGTTATAAAGCCTTCCTCGATTAAGGATCTATTCAGAACGAAAATATTTTTTTAGTTCAAAGTACCTACACAGTACTTTCTGAACGTACCGTGAACTGTTTTCGCAGCGTACGCAATGAACTCTCAAAGATGCTGTCTATAGTTTACTCGAGTAGTACACATTTAAATAAAATACTTTGACGGTTTAAAACGCGATATATTAGTTAACCTTATTTGAAAATGATTTTTAACTTCGGCCCGACGTTTCGGATGCTTTGCAGCAGCCGTGGTCACGGGGAGACTAAAGATGGAGGATGTCTCTGACGTCAAAGTAAAAAACTGCTACGCTAGCGCCATCTGTTCCGTCGAAGTTGGTATTTGGCGAAACTGGCCGGTCGTTCTTAAAGATGAATAATTTTTCCGTTTTTTTTTTTACATTTCCCACTGTCTTCGCTCCTATTGATCGCAGCGTTATATGGCGTAAAGCTTACCTAACGCAAATATTTTTCCAATTCAAACTACTAGTTCGTTAAGATCGTAGAGTATATACATACAAATATCCTTATATAAAGGGTAGGTAGTTTGGTAGAAATGCACAGCCACCTAAACACAAACACCGACTTGGCCCCTTTACTTGAACTTTAACATAAGTAAAAACTACATGTGGTCTAACTACATACTTTTAGTCAATCAAATTCTAAGGAGAGGAGAGGAGAAATATCAAAACAATATTAAACTAAGTAAAAAAAACGTAATTTCATGATACCTATTTATGGACATACGCGCGGTTAGCAAATACAGTGCACAATACGTTAATCATATTTTAAGCGCGTTATTTACATAATTAAATCCATTAAACATAGCAATAAGCGTTTTAAACTAAACGTACAGAAATTACACATAACTGAGTATTTAATTGCAAATAAACGTAACATAGCTTATGTGGGCCCAGACACAGGCATGAGCGGATCGATTAGCGGGATAATTTATAAGATAGGAGAATATATAGGAAAAGAAACAGACGATATTTATTTTACTAGAACTACGGGCTCCATTGTTTAAATTAAGTTTATTTATTGAACATTATTTAATTAACATAAATAGGATACTTAAGGATATTCAATCTTTACCTTTTAGTTAGGCTTTGAATTCAATGATTTAATATTAGTTACAGGCAACGAAAATACACAATTCGGTATAAATCATGTAGATATATATCATGTATAAGTAACACTATTTTACATCTCTCCCCATTTATCAGCAATAAAACAAAGTTCTAAAAATAGGCCCCTTTATACAATTCTTAATGTCGACCTATTTTCATTATTGGGTCCCTTACTAAAACACGTTGTTAGTATTCGCCCGCTTACCGCTGCGTCGTGGACTCACCCTTATAGAAATAGAGTCATTACAGCTATCAAGTCGCTGGTAATCAACGAGGATCGTCACGACGTAATCATCCAAGATTCAGTCCGAGTTTATCGCTGAGAATCAGTGCGTTATCTCGGGCCCTATTCTAGTGAATTACTGAGGTGTAAAATCTCCTAATTGCGACATTAACGGTCGCTTGGTTACGTGAATTTACTTATGATCACATTAATAGAGACAGTTTGACGTTGGTGTAAATCGACGGGTCTTGGGTTCGATCACCACGAGGTCCACCAATTTTCAAATCGATTTATAATTTAAAAAAAATGCATTTATCTGATAAGCCGTTTATGTAAATAATACAAAATTCTATATCATTATCAACAGACAACGCCATCTTACGAAATCTACTTATTCACGAAGTAAAATATTTGATTTAATTTTTTTTTATTTTTACAACACTTTCATTCTAATCTGAAATATATCAAAAAATGTGCACTCCAATATTGAATTAACTTACATCAATATGAATTAAAGCTTGAATTAATCAAACCAAGGATACATTATATCAAAAAAGCGTGCACGTATTTTTTTAATAATTTTTGTTAATCTCATTTTAAATGTAATTAATCTTATGTGAAATAAAGCCTTTGAACCTAAATGAATCGCCTCATTATTCCGATGCGCGTACGCTCGTGTGCTAGTGAAAATGCACCCGCTCGACAACTCGCCTATTCTATACAGCCACTCGGGCCACTTATCTTGAGAGTTATCTGCGTGGCCGAGGCGCTTCTAATTTGTAATTACGACGAGTTATTAACTTATTACCTTCACGACAAACGGTCGCAACATAAATTATTATATCTGAAATGTAATAGCTATTTCTGGTGTAGCTATATTTGCCTTAGTGGCTTTTGGCTTTGCGTTCTGAGAAAAGGAGACCGTAAGTTTGATTCCCATGAAGTTTTCGTTCGGGCAGGGCATATCATAGTATACTTAATATAAAAATTCTTATGACACAATGTTAGTTGCGATAACTGTCTATAGTTAGCGAGTGGTACACATTTAAATAAAACCTTAGTTAAACTTATTTGAAAATGACTTTTAATCTCGACCCGACAACCGTGGTCACGGGGAGAACAGTTTCCTCGTGACCACGGCTGCTGCAAGGCATCCGAAATGTTTCTGAGAGCATGATAATTAACACTGTTGATGTTGGTTATCGTGCTCCTCCGAAACGGCTCGACCGTGCTTTATGAAATTTCATTTGCATCAGTTTGTCTGACGTGTCCAACAACCTGATCCTGACACCAACCATCGAATGAACCCCGCGCTTGTCTGTCCTCCTGGATCATAAAAAACAGATTTCTCTTTGTGGGAATCGGCCAATATCCTATGTACATTTCACAAATCGATGTAGTTGACACTCAAACCACGGTAACCATATTTAAAGACCCTGTACAATCGAAATGTAAGGTTCTTCATACTTCAGCAACCCTCGAGACTTTGTAAGTCTTTGCTCCGAAACTGCTTGAGAAAACTTTGTAATGCAGTCATTATTGTTGTTCAATTAAACATTATTCAATACAAATGTTTTACAATCGAATTGTTATCGAGCGATTATTTAGTAATAAGCATTAGGGCTAAGCCACACCTATCACGTTTGTACAAGTGAAATCTGTTGAGCAAAGGGCGTCCGTATCGCGATCTTAGTCATTTCTGTTAAGGCTCTACAAACCGAATGTTCATACATAGTAAAATTAAACTAACTAAAATTTATTAGTACCTAACAGATTGACAAAATAGAAATAAAAGAATATAAACTATCTTATAGAATCGGTCTGTATGGGCAGGCTAATAGCCTAAACGATACACATTGAAATAAAACACTTTATACCAAGTCGAAAAATGTTTGTATTAGTGCAACAGTTTAACTAATATATCGCGTTTTAAAGTGTTTTATTTAAAAGTGTACTACTCGCGTAAACTATAGACAGTATTTAGGTAATGTTCGGAAAATAACACTTAGCGATAAAAGGAGTGGCGGTAAGTTTCTTGCTAGTATTCTCGTTCGTTCGTTCGGTCTTGATTTAAGAAATGGTACTGAATGTAAATTTGAAGTCTTAAGTTTCTAACCGGTGTGACCTTCATAAGTGTGGCTTACCTACGCGAATGAAAGATTTTCGATTTTGACTTTAAAAGCCAATTCCACGCATATAAAAACACGAAAGCTAGCTATACCAAGGAAAGGATGCAGTTTTAACCACACAAGATAAAATAAACACTGTAATATTATATTTTCCTAGAAAAAGGATTTGTTGAGACTATATAAATAACTGTGTCAGCGACTTCGTCCGCGTAGAGTAGTTATTTTAGGCATGAAAATTTGTTTTTCCCTATACCTACATAATATTTATAAATTAGTAGTTTGTGCAAGATAATCTTAAAAGATACTATGACATATATTATCGCGGACATTTTTTCGATCATTTAAAGAGGAATAATTTTTTGATACATGTTTTTTGGGTATCTTGGAAACTGTTATCACAGCGCACGCAAGGAAAGCCCTTAAAGCTAAATCACTTTCCCAGTTTTTTCCACATTTCCCACTGTATCTTCGCTCCTATTTGTCGCATCATGAGGTTTGATAGCATAAAGCCTCCCTCGATAAAAGCTCTAACCGAAACAAAAATATGATTTTGCACCACTAGTTCCCGAGATTATCGCGTCCAAACAAAAAACTCTTCAGCTTTATAAATTAGTATAGATTTTCTAATAAATCTCAATAATTCCATTGAGAAGGAACTTTAAATAAATGATATGTATCGAGCGATGTCTCTAACCATTAGCGCACCGAACACAGTTATCTTCGACCCGGACATCTTGCTCACTATTGCTTTAGCAGATAGACCTCGTCTGCATAAACAGCTTAATGTTTTGCTGGATAGGAAGGTGTCTGATGCTACAGAGCTTACCTACTCCTTGAAAGTTCTTCTCAATAAAAATTCGAATTTGTTAGGTTGGCAGTTTGATTTCCGGTCGTGCACTATTTATATAGTAGTATTCTCAGATAACCTAGGTTGAGACCTAAAATTTAAAGACTTATTTTCAACCCTTTATAAATAATCAACTACTATTGATGGTGGATGTGAATCTGGTTTATTCTTTACGTCTGTTTATTTTTTTCTTCTCTAGCTGTATAATATAGTTAATTCGGACATCAAAATTTATTTTTGTAAACCTCCTCATCTTTATACATACTAGCCGTTACCCACGACGTTGTCTGCATCTCATTGTTATTGCAAGTTAATCTTAACAGATTGACTTAGATTATCAAAATAATGTCTGCGACTGTATATGTTCTAAGATCTAAAGATCGTTTCAAGAGGAATCATAATTTCGTTAATACATGTTGAGTATCTTAAACCCTTTTCACAGTGTGCATCGGAAACCTACAAAGTTTTTTTCACATTTCCCAGTGTGTCTTTGCTCCTATTTGTTCCTACGCGATGTTTTTTAGCCTCTCCTATAAATGCTCTAACCAACGCAACAATAATTTTTCAATTCGAACCAGTAGTTTGAGATAAACGCGTCCAAACAAACTCTTCTGCTTTATAATATTAGTATAGATAATTACAGCTATAGAAATTATATTTAGTGTAATTCATGTAAGGTCTAGTTACAAGCAAGTGTGCCAATTTGAACTGTTCTATAGAATAGTGAATACATTTCTCTAGAAAGTATAGTCAGTGAGACGACTGGGTCGTGTCGTGACTGGTCGCTTGACGCCCTCTAATGAAGTCGTAAGGTGCGCTGTCCGGCTACAGAAGTGTGGACATGGCTTTTTTATCGTCCTTGACTTGAATTTATTTATTCATTGGTTTACACCGATTCCCTAAGTTTGAAGTTCTTCTCTTCTAAATGTTGTTATTAGGCTAATATTTAAGTTATTAATGTATTGTGAAATAAATGGTTAAATTGTGTGTTTGAGTTTGTAAAAAGGACGTTAGTCTATGTAACCGTTTTATGTAACTATAATAAAATTATAAATAGTGCGCAACGAAGCTGGTGGTCTAGATCTGTAGACTCCACCAATAACACTAAAATGAAAGTACCGAATTTGAATGACTTGTCCGAGGTAAAATTTTATTCTACTTTAATAAATATATTGCAAACTTAAATTTGAAGTACCCAGAGAAGAATTATCGTTATAATTAGAAGATTTTTTCATTGATTTTGACTATGTTTATTTCCGAAATGGTGTAAGAAATATTTTACAAATGTATCGATATCTCATTAAAACTCGGTATTATTTAATAAAATTATTTTCTTATTAATAATAATCTTAAATAGTCTCAAATGTAGAAAAGTATAAATAATTAATGTTTAATTAAAACGGCAATGATTTAAACTTGAAATTATTATCACCATACTTACATTTGTAAGTACCTATTGTATGAAAATACTGTTAGCTAAATCTTAATAGATCGACTAACAAACAAAAGGAACAAATAATATAAGTGCTAATTCCGTTACAATGTTTTTATCACTTTTGCGGTTATTCTAGGAACGTCTATGACTTCATGTGTATATTTAGAATGATGATATTTCTATGTACCGTTCAGACTTCAATATAAGAATGTCTTTAAATTACAATAATGATTTTTAAATATACATTTGATGACAAAATCGTTATGACAACTTCATTCATCACTATTTATTGTAGCTAGATTACACGTATGGTCCATATTAAATAAAACTAGTTTCAAACAGTTTTTCCCATTTGTCTCGAAAGCTGCTAAAAAGAGCTGTCTCCACGCCAAGTGAGCCGGGGCATGCACTTTGGGTGGCACTTATTACAACTCATTAGAATCTCCGGGACACCAGTTACATACAATTATTCCTTTCCTTTTCCTCATCTACCCACGATTCTAATACTCTAAGATTCAATCATACTGTACTGATTACTACTTTGACATCTCATAGAATGTATTCCGAATGTATACCGAAGAATTCTTAGCTATTGGAAAGATTAGCGCTAACTTACCCCCGTAGCAATAGTTAAACGCGTTAGCTAGCTTGGTATTTAATATTGAGACCTGGGTTTGAATCCCGGTGAAAGGTGCTTCTAGCAATAGGTTGGAAAAAAAATACGACGATGACACATTAATATGTCCGTTCTACTGATCGGTTTCCAAAAGTCTAATTCCTCTCAATTCGAACCCAGGCCCTATTATTTTCAGAGTATTGCTAGGCTATGGAGGGCTGGATGGTATTCAAACATAGTAAGACCTAAGTTTATCTAAACACGAAAGAGTTAAATAAATTCCCATATTATGTAAGTTCCCACAGCTTTTGGCGTTAGTTCACATTTGCTAATGTAATTTCCTCTAGCCGTACCCACGGTACATGTTTGTTAGTATATGTACACGTTAGTTATCGACTAATAGGAAATCACTGTGCCCTGTGTACAGGATGTAACAAAGTCTTTGAGATCCACAAAGATAGTTTAAGACGTCAAGCAAGTAACAAATTGAACTAGAAAGAGAGAGAAAAAACATTTCATACCATTTTCATTCTTTATTTAATAACTAGCTGTTTACCCATACCCATAATGATGATTAATTTTACCATCTTTTCACATTTCCCGCTATTAGTCACAGCGCTCAGTTTTGTAGCCTATATAGAGCCTTCCTCGATGTTCTAAATCAACACAAACATTTCAATTCGAACCGGTAGTTCCTGAGATTGGCGCGTTCAAACAAACAAACTGTTCAGCTTGTAGGTATAAATTAGTATAGATAAAACCTAATTATATAAGCCTAAATTTAATGACATTACAATTAAGTGAGTATTCTTTAAGAATCCTTCTTAAAGAATAGATCTAATTTGCTAATAATATCTTGTTAACACTGCATAATATGCAAGTCTGTAGAGATCGAAGTACCTAAGCGTTTGATAAATTATTATCTTATCATTACATACTTTTCTTTCCAATACGATAGTAAGTAAAAGTTGATTGTATAAGTGAAGTATTTTTTCTTATGTCTGTCTGTCTATTCAACAGCGACATGTACATTGGCTATAGTTTTTGAAACCCCCTGTATAATACAAAGACAGTATTCCCATCCAGCTTGTAAGTGCAGCATTTAGGCGAAGCTGCGAGCTATTAGCGTCACTTATAGGAAATTAGTTCAACACCTGGGAACGATTCGAGATCACTCGGTTTTATTTAATTAACGGTTACATCCCAAATCTGATTGTTAATTGCCACAGCAACGAACTTAAGTTGAGCCCGTTGCTATGGCAATGTAATGTAAACAAATCTAGTAGATATTATGAACTACTAACTGTGCCCGCGACTTCGTTCGCATGAAATAGTGACTTGGGGTAGAATTTTTAATTATTTAGGCTGTTTTGGTATGAAAGAGTAACAGACAGACAGGCAGAGTTCCTTACGCATTTATAATATTAGATATCTGTATATACTGACCTACCCCTTTATATTATCTACTTTTGTAAATTAAAATTAAAACACTTTCAAGCAGCCATGACCACGACTGCTGCAAAGCATCTGAAGTCGGCCTGTAGATAAAATAATAGTAAATAAGTTTTACTCGCGTAAACTACAGACAATAACTTTTGTATTTGTTATTTGTAATTCGTTCTTATAACCATTCTACAACTTTTAGGTAATTTGTACATCGATTGCTGAACATTCTGTACTCAGTTGTAAGGTTCCCTAATTACATAGGTACAACAGATGTTACATACATCTTATCTGAGAAAATGGTTAAATAATCACTAAACTATACTTTTCAATTAATTATTTAGAAATGTACAAAAGCAAACGTTAAGGCTTTGCAATGGCACTTTTAAGGGTTATAATTCTTACTTCTAAATTGACTATTTGAATTGTATCCAATCATTAATGATTATATTTATTTCTTACAGGTTTTATTGAGAGCGATAGTTTAGGTAATAAGTTGGAAATCGATCAAATACTATTTAAATAAATCGGTGACACGAGAGAGTCCCTCTCTGAAGTGATTCTCGCTCGTCGTCATCGAATTTGTTTCCATTGATACATGCAATGTTAACTGGTCAATATGTGGCGATAAAAAAATAACTAAATATATTTCACGTTTTAAACCGTCCATTCTTTTTCCCTGATTTAAACAAAGTCACGAGCGTAGCCCGTGTGTTTAAATACATATGTATCTTACAGCTATATCAAGTTTCACAAGTACTCATACCGTTTTATTATCGACTTCACTAATTAACACTAATTAATAAACAACGGGTTTCCACATGAGGCAATCGTCCGGTTACACCTACGAATTGATGATATCGATTATAATATGCTACTGGTCTTGGAGGTTTAATAAAAAATAGTGAAGGATCGAGTTTCGGCTTCAGTTTTTTGGCATTCGGTTTCTTAAAAACATCGATATTTTTCTAATTTGCACGCGATGGCACTATTTCAATTAAAACTACACGAGCATAACTTTAAACGTCATCCACAGAAGTCCTTGCTGGTGCTTTAACACATCATCGTCGAATTTTTTCAAATTATTAATGTATAGAGGTTTCTATTCAGTACAAAAAAAGCACTCTGTAGCTATCATCAATAATTTGAGCAGAAAAACTTTATTTAGAGAAAACTAAATGTGATAAATATATAAGTTAATTCTTTATACGAAATTAATAACTCGAGTGTGATAATTTATATACCGAAGTATCTATAAAGCGTGGTGCATTACTTACTATTCGGTACACACATTTGTTCGTATTGCGGGCGCGTTGAAGCGTTTGTTGATTATATTAGATAGGTAGATATATTTAGCCGAAATTCGGTTTCGGTTCAAGCCATATCGGCCCATCTCTAATAATATGTTTAACTTAGCATGTGATTTATACTATTTCTATATCAGCTTTCTTTTATCGCATTCATCAGCGTGCATTATTTATTTACACTAAATCTTAATAAGTTTTACCTTTTTATAATTAAATATTTATAAGTACTTAATTAAAAATTCCTATTTTTTTACTATTTATTACCTACAAAGATATGGGCGACGTGC